GACCACAATGGTTGGAGCTGGGCTAATCCAAAGCTAGGAGCCTGGAGTCTCCTTTGGGTCTCCCACATGAGTGCAGGGTTCCAATAATTTGGGCCATCCTCTTATACTTCCCCAGGCTATGAGCAGGCTACTAGATTGGAAGTGGAAAGCCAGGACATGAAGTAGTACCCATATGGCATTCCTGATACTATGCAAGTGGAGGATTAGCTAACTGAGTCATTATGTCAGCCCCATGGCATAATTAAAAAAAAAAAAAACTATAGTAAACATCAACTACTTCTGACACATTGTCTCAATTCCAAAATCCTTGTACCTTTATATTATATTCATAGTTATATTCTTAACTATGTCTTCTTAGAAATGATGCTTTGCATGCTGTAAATGAATTAAATATTAAGGGAGTTTATCAATATATCCAAGAAACATTACCAAGGAAAACAACTAGCCAACGCTTCTTGCTCATAGGTGCTAGAGGGATCTAGGATAACATCTATTCCCTGCCCACCTCCCCCCGCCCACACTGCCTGACCCCAACCCTTATCATTTATCTGCTATTGCAAAAGAAACCCCATAGTAGGTGCTTGATGAATAGATGTTAAATAAATCTTTGTTGAAAGGAGCTACAGGAGGGAACATGTGCACACATTGGTCTTCTTATTTCAGCCAAGGGAGACAGAAGGGCTACCAAAACATGTCCTCTTTTGCCTGGCAAGCACAGCACAAATAAGGCCATTGCTGGCACAGACTGTTCATTTTAGCCTGTTGCTGGAATTACTTATGTGAAACCAACCCTCTACCCTCTGCCAGGCAGAAGGTCAGCTCAAGAGTGAGCTGATCTGCAGGCACAACACCACCTCTCACCCAGGAGGCTGCTATGTTATTTCCCTGAACATGACAGGTGGGGAAATCTGGGCACCAGTTGTTCTTTTCCACTAGTATCATTTGGAGGGTAGCTCCAGAGTCGGGCACGCCAGCCTATGTGCCTCTCCTGCCAGGAAAGGCTCCACCTCAGAGCTCTTAGAATGTGGGCTGTGTGCATGGGCCAAGTCCACTTGTCAGAGACTACCCAGGGCACAGAGTGGCCGCAGGGTTATGGAGTTCAGCAAGAGTTGTTCTCTCATTCAGTCCATCCTTGACTGGGCTGATGTCCTAAGTTCGAGAAACAACGTTTGGTTTTATGACACATTTTTTAAAAGTAATATAAGGCCAACTGGAATTAATTTACTTTTGAGAAAATGGCAGAAACTGCTCCAAGGCAGAGATATTCCTAAGCTGCCAGGAAGTGGAGATGTCAGTGGGGCGAGTTCCCTTGATTCCAAATTTTCCTGCTTGTGAGGTCTTCCACTGCCTACCCGTGTTTAGCACATTCTCACCCGTACACACCCCAACTCACACCATTTAAGACAACTCAACTTCCCCTTGTTCCTTTCTTAAACTTGATTCTTACTTCTTTCTGAGCAGAACAATATTGGTTCATACAGTTTTAACATTTCAGGCAAAACCAAACCAAAACAAACAAACAAAAAAAAACCCAGCCAGGATTATGTTATAATACCTTAACTTTTAGTTTTCAGGGCATTGTGAGTTTTGTGGCAAATGTTCACTGTTGCTTGCATTTTAATTTCTGAGTTTAATTCAAAACCAAACAAAAAGCATCATGTTCCATGTGTTGAGGTTGAAAAACTATGTCTTAATCTTTATGATGCTGTAACATTTCCTCTGTCACTCTTGGATTCTTCAACACAACTTCTGCGTTCAGTTCATCGCCACTAAAGTAAAGAGCAGACTATAAAGTTGCATTGTTTGTGATATTACCTCTTTATTGATATATATTTGATATCTTTAAGTGGCTTTTACTAATCCTTCAGACCATTTTTTTTAAAAAACTGTACTTGTAATTCAGGATATCGCTATTAGGTTGCAGTCATGTACAAGAATAGTCTACCTGGGAGACTAGAAGGGCTTCAAAAAGTTCAGAGAAATGGAATGGAAAGGTACAAATTTATTTTGGTGCATTTTAAAAAAAGATTTATTTATTTTTATTGCAAAGTCAGATACACAGAGAGAAGGAGAGACAGAGAGGAAGATCTTCCATATGCTGATTCACTCCCCAAGCGACTGCAATGGCCAGGAGCGCTTCCTCCAGGTCTCCCATGTGGGTGCAGGGTCCCAAGGCTTTGGGCTGTCCTGGACTGCCTTCAAGCAGGGAGCTGGATGGGAAGTGGAGCTGCCGGGATTAGAACTGGCTCCCATATGGGATCCCAGCATGTGCAAGGCGAGGACTTTAGCTGCTAGGCCACCACGCAGGATCCCAATTTTGGTGCACTTAAAAAAAATAAAATCCATTTATACACATTTTTCATCATGTATATTTTGCACAAATTTTTGAAGACCCTGTCTTGTGCTCCATTGTATGAATTTTCCTAATCCTTTGTTAGTGGATAATATGTGCTAGTCACAAATATAATGTTATTCCAACCAAGTATTCATGTGAATCCCCAGGCAGGTTAAATCACGGAAGTGGAATCGCTGGACAGAAATTATACACGTTTGCATTTTTAAAGGATGTTGCCAAATTATCCTCCACAGAATTGGTGCCAATTTATACTTCATTGTTTCCAAAATGGGCTTGTTCCCAACAGCCATGCCACAGTTACACTTTTGAGTCTTTATAAATATATTTGGTTTAACAAAATACTTCATAGTCAAATTGTCATTTCTCTTAAGTGATTGAGAGTTTCCATCTTCCGGATTTAACAAACTTTGATGATGGTTCTTTCAAAAATTCATGAAAAATGGAATTTATTTTTACGCAAAAAAAGTTTAAAATTCATGCATGGTTTTGCATGATTCACCTCTCCCACAAACTTTTTGTAAACATCTTGTGTTTTTTTTTTCCAGTAGACAAAATGGAAGTACCTGCAAATACAAACATATAACCATGTGCTGAGTTTTCTTGTTGATGCTGCTTCTTTTCGCCACTGTGCTATGTGTCTTTCTCTTTTATTTGCTGTGCTCATTTAGCCATGCCTTCTGCCTATGCCTCTGAAGAGAAACTGCTGGCAGCCAGGAGTGCAGGACTGGAATGTCTGCTTTCCCCTTCATCCTTGTGCTATGGATTCCTGGGGGAAAATATCTATAGATTGGAGTGGTGAAAGGAGAAATCTAATCAAGTCCCTCTTTGAGACTAATTAAGACCTCAAAGAGAACAGATAACCAATCGACTGGAATAATTTGGTCATGCTGAAACTTGGGAGATGGTCAGTAAAATGACATCTTCTGAACGTCAACTCCAAGAAAGTTCTGGCTCTTTGCACTAAAGTCTTGGTGAGTTTCAGGATAACATGTGTAGAGAGATCTGCACTGTGCAGCTGCAAAGAAAAGCAAGAAATATTCTGCAGCCTTTGCTGGTTTGAAAACTGGGCGCAGATTTCATTCATTCTAATGAGATCATTCTTATTAGCATGCACATAAAGGAGGGTGGTGCAAAATAATGGGACAGTAGGACCTCCTCAACTTTAGCATTAGCTGCTGCATGTGGAGCTGATGGTAGTTGAATTCATGGCTATGAAGTGGTGGCATTTTTAGACAAAACAAAGATAGCAGACGGTATTTTGTTTGTTCAACTCCCCTCCTCTACAGGTGAAGAAATAGATTTGAAGAGCTTAAATGACCCATGCAAGGTCCTCTAGCTAATTAATGGCACTGAGGAAGTGGAGTCCAGTTGGATCCCCTCATTACTGGTCTCAGCTATTTCTATAGTTCATAGGATTTCCCTGAATTCATGCACTGAGGCCTTGCCATTGCCAAGGAGGTCTCCCCCACCATTTTCCACTTAGAATTGCATGTCCCACTCATTCAAGACAGCTAATTAGGTCTCAGTGTGTATGTCAGGGCAAAAGTAATTGGCTTATGCCGACTTGAACCTCTGATTTCAACCTTGCCCCATCTATTCAGACTGTTTTAGATTAGGAAGTGTTTTTTGTTTGTTTTGTTTGTTTTGTTTTTATGAAAAAGGACCATGAGCAAAGTAATCAAACTTGTATCAGAAATGCCTTTGAAAGTTTTTCTAAAGCTTTAATTATAATGTTCCTTTTGGTTGGGGTGAAATGTCAGGTGCCCTCAATTTTCCTAAATGTTTGAAGATATTTGTAATGCTCTCTGTCTTTGGGGGTGATAAAAGGTGTCTGTTGGCCATGGCTGGGTGTTCATGAAGTGATCTGGGGGAGATCTCCGGACCCCAGTCCTTTGTCCAAGAAGGTATAGTTAAAAGATTAAAGTGAAGGGTTACAGCATGATCCCATTTTAACAGTAAGTCATTGCTCCAATGACTACTTTCTTTTCTCAATTAAACCATGGGCTCAGGCCACAAAGGCTCTGCAAAAATGCAACTCTGTAGGCAAATACACATGTGGGGCCCTAACCATGCTGGAGGCCAGTTAGTATAATGTGTATTTCAGATGCAGTTTGTTATTGATGCTGGGTGGCATGGTACTTAAAGCCAAAAACAGGATGAACCCAGAGTACCAAAGTGGAAAACTAGGTGGGTGGGTGAGCATGGACTTGGATGTGGAAAAATGTGCTCCCTAGGGACATGTCCTGTGTTTATTAGTGAGGACCTGCCCCTTCTCTGCCCTGTAAGCTGACCCTGACACCAGAGCTTACTAATAAATTGAATAAATCCTCCTGACCCTACCAATCAAGAATAAAGACAAGACCACCCAATTCAGTGCTGGTCAGAACTGCATGGGGTTCAAATGATTCTTGCCCCATAGGAGTATTGACTCCAGCAATAACAATCAAAGTCAACTACAGTGGCCATGCTAGGGTGTGGAGGCAAGGCAGTGGAATAGATGACATGTTAGGTTCATTGGTACTCTAGGAACTGACATTTCCCCACTTAAACACGACAAAGAAATTTTCTATCCGTTACCTCCCTGGTCCCATTAGTGTTTCTGGATAAGCATTTCTGGGGAAAATAATTTCTGTTTTCCTTCCAGCTGTGCAGCAGATACTTCCAAGATGGGTTGCAACTGCAGAGAATAAGACACAACTGCGGCCTCCAAAGGACCATGACAACCAGAAAGCTTCAGCCAGATCCTGCTCTTTCCCTGAGAGGATCTGGAGCCTAGGTTAAACCATTTCCGATATTTTGTCCTCTGCCTCCCTCTACTGTTCTTCAGGAGAACAACAATGAGAAACCATGTACTAGCTGCATCTTTCTCTATGCTCTCCCTGCTGGCAATAATGGGAGATACAGACAGCAAAACGGACAGCTCATTCATGGTGGACTCAGACCCTCGACGCTGCATGAGGCACCACTATGTGGATTCTATCAGTCACCCATTGTACAAGTGTAGCTCAAAGGTAAGCCTGAGGTCTCTGTGAAGGTAGCAGAAAATCAGAGCTGCCAAACTGCTTTGCCCAGGATAGGAGAGCTATGATCATGGTCTAAACTTGAGGTATATGGCTGACTCCCAAGGCTTGTGGGCAGGTTCATGCTTTTCCCATCATGCTTTACACTTCTGTCAATAAAGCTGCCTAATTGGCCACATGTACATTTTTAAATTATTTGTTTTTACTGGAAAGAGTTACAGAAAGGAGAGACAGAGAGGAAGTTCTCCCTCAAATAGCCACAACGGCCAGTACCAAGCCAACCTGAAGCCAGAAACCAGGAGCACCTTATGGATCTCTCACATGAGAGCAAGGGTCCAAAGACTTGGGCCATTCTCTACTGCTTTCACAGGCCATAGTCAGGCAGCTGGATGGGCAGTGGAACAGCTGGGAAATAAGCCAGAATCCTTATGGGATGCTGAGAGTGCAAGTGGAGGATTAGCCTGTTGAGCACATTCACCCACTGGGAGGATATTTTTCGATCCTGGCAAAGAAACGTAGGAGTGGTAGTGTTGCTTTCAAGAAAATAAAGTCTACGTACCTACTTCCACCAGCAATAAGGAGGAGAGGGTTGGAAAAAAAATACAGGCGATCTCCAAAAAGTTTGTGGAAGGATCAGTGCAAAAGGCCAATGGCTAAAGTTGTCACCTTGCACATGCATCCCATATTGGTATCAGTTCATGTCCTGGCTGCTCCACTTCCTATCCAGCTGCCTGCTTGTGGCCTGGGGAAGTAGAAGCCAATGGCCCAAAGCCTTGGGACTCTGCACCCATGTGGAAGCACTAAAAGAAGCTCCTGCCTCCAGGCTCCTGTCTTCAGATTGGCTCAACTCTAACCATTGTGGCCACTTGGGGAGTGAACCAGTGGATAGATCCTTTTCTCTCCTTCTCTCTGTAAATCTGATTTTCCAATAAAAAAGAAATCCTTTAAAAAGTTAATGAAAATTGTACATGACAAATAAATTATGCATGACTTTAAAAATATTTTATATCAAATAAATTTATCCTTTAATTCTTTTTTCTATGAGCTCTTAGAAGTAACCTGGTGTGACTGAGGCATGCAAATTACTCCATAGAGGTCTCATCAAAGGCCCTCCTGGTGAAATTAGATAGCAACTGGCCTTTCTCCTTGAGCCATATTTATATGGTCATGATTTCTAAAGACAGGCTGGCAAGTTGATCATTTCTCGTTTTTACACTGTTTATTCTACTCACTCTTGGAGCAGGTTACACATTTCTTATAAGGGGTAACTTGTAGCTCAATGTTGAAGAAAAGCACGCAAAAACAATATTATACTCTAAAGGCCACCAGGAGTAGCCAGCCACATGGACCATCCAAAAGGAAAACGTATTGGAGGTTAGAATGGAACTCCAAATGAGAATTATCACAACCACCACTGCCCCTAAATCATCACACAAATGAAATTTGTCCACACTTTTAAAGATGAATTTGCTTAACTCCACAACAGGGATTTTCACTCTTAGTCCCAAGACAAAAAACACTTAAACCTTCTTATATGGCAGGTATTTGTGAAATTGCCAGCATAATTAAGACCTTTTCCCTTGTACTATCAACCACTAGAATTGAATTAAGACCATCTAAGTCAGTCTGTTCACCCTTCATTTGAAAACATTTTTATTTCAAACTGTGCTTAAAATTCCCATAACTTTTATGTTTATAGCCCAATGGTGATGAGTTGTCTTATTTTGGGAAATCAAAATTTGAGTCAAGTTTCTTTAACCATTCCATTAATAAGGCCTATGACTGTGGGAACAAATAAAGGTTTTCCACTTAAGAAGAGACTTTTGGGATTTTATTTGTTTTTGTAGTAAAGAGATAAATGTCAATTTTTGCAAGGCTACAATCCCCTTCTTAGGAAAAGAAAACTAAAACATGCTGAGAAAAAAAATCTGACAAGTGCTTTTACAACCATGATTGCTCAGACACTGTGGGCCCCAGTAAGGTTGACTGGAACAATTCTTTTCACCTTCCGTTTCTATTTCCATAAATTTCAGCTCTGTTATGTTGTCTTCCATAGTCATGAATCTTTCTTCTCCCCCCACCAAAGAAAAAAAAAAGAATTGAAATTATTTTAAAATGGAGTGCCAGTGATATGACAGGAAATAGGAGCATCTCTAAACACGAGACAGGATCTGGAAAGATCAGGCAAAGTGATGGAGGCATGCCTTGGCAACTATCACACTGACCAAGGGAAGGTCAAAGAAGAAACGTCATTAACAGACGTCATTAACTCAAATCCAACAAGCTCACATTCCTCAAGCGAGAGGCTTAGACTCCTGTTGTTCACCTTTGTTTCCTTCACAAAACTAGGGTCAATAACATTGCCAAATTTTGATAGTAGAAGAAATGTTTGTCATTTCATGGGAACAATCTGTTTTCAAACATTCCATGCTATCCCAAAGATAGCAATCTTCTTATGTAAATGGTGCTTGTGATTATAAACCTTTCTTTCTTGGCTATAAAATATGCCTGGAAGAATCTCATCCACCAAGACCTTTTATGGATTAGTTTCTCTATATAACCGGGGAGGAGGGTGCTTTTCATTTAGAAGTATTCCCTACTTCTTCACTTTCACAAACTCAAGCCAGTCTTCTCTCTATTGGTCTCATTTGGTGAGCCTGCTCACCTTTAGAGATTTGGGATAAAATATTCTGTTAGAAAAGAGCCAGTCACAATCTACCCAGCTGGCTTCTTGGTAAAAGGGATTATGGGAGATTTTTTCATCTTTCCACAAACTTTCTGTGAATATTGTGTTTAAAGACTACTTTTTTTAAAAAGATTTGTTTATTTTTATTGCAATCTGATATACAGAGAGGAGGAGAGACAGAGAGGAAGATCTTCCGTCTGATGACTCACTCCCCAAGTGACCGCAACGGCCGGTACTGCGCCGATCCGAAGCCAGGAGCCAGGAACTTCTTCTAGGTCTCCCATACGGGTGTAGGGTCCCAAGGCTTTGGGCTGTCCTCAACTGCTTTCCCAGGCCACAAGCAGAATGGGAAGTGGAGCTGCTGGGATTAGAACCTGTGTCCATATGGGATCCAGGAACGTTCAAAGTGAGGACTTTAGCCGCTAGGCTATGCCGCTGGGTCCCAAAGACTACTGTTTACTAGACAAATGTCTGCTGTGTGCCTGTAGATTGCTAAGACTTCCTGATTTATTCTTATTCGGTGTCTGACTTTGTGAAGGCAGATGAAGGGCAGTGTGTATAATTCAGGAAAGGGTTAGCTTGCGAAAGTGTTAATGTGAGCATCTTATATATCTCAGATACCTTGTACTGTGAAGGAACACCAAACAGTTTGCAGAAAATGCAAGTGAGACAGAAGTTTGCTTTGGTGCCCAAAAAGTGAAACCCATATGTATGAATTTTCAGAGTTCATGGGAAAATGTATATTATTTAAAAAAAAAACTGTTTGGAATTTTTTTTTGCAAAAGTAAACATTTTATTTAAAAACTGTACTTTTCACGAACTTTTTAAAGTACTCTTTTAAGGTGTGCTAATCAATACCAACAAGCCTGTGATGGCAGGCATTGTTGTTGTCATGTTTTTAGTAAAGAGAGCTGAAACCCAAAAGAAGTGCTCAGTAGGTTGCTCGATTCTATGTAGTGCTGAGATAGCAATGCAGCCTTGGAGTATTCATCCTTCTCTGACTACTTGGAGCTTCATGTTGGAGGGAATGTACATAGAATGCAGCAACCACACTTGGAAGTCCAGGCTTAACTTCTGATCTTACAGCAAACGTATGTTTTTTCGAAAAAAGGTTATTTTTGTTGAAAAGGCAGATTTATATAGAGAAAGATGTTCTATCTGCTGATTTGCTCCCCAAATGACCACAATAGCCTGAACTAAACCAATCCAAAGCCAGGAGCCTCTTCTGGTTCTCCCACAAGGGTGCAGGGTCCCAAGGCCTTGAGCCATCCTTCATTGATTTGCTAGGCCATAAGAAGAGAGCTGGTTTGAAAGTGGAGCATCCAGGACGAAAATCAGCACCCATATGGCATGCTGGTGTTTGTAGGTGGAGGATTAGCCTGCTGAGGTATGGCACCAGCCTGCAGGAATTGTAATTTATACTCAACAGGTTTTTTTTCTAGAAAATGAAATGGAAGTGAAGGCCTTTTCTGGAGGCCTTCAGTAAATTTCTGTTCACCCTATCCCTGATCTTGCAGTTGTCCAGACAAAGGGCTCTCTTACCACCTCCTAGCAACTCAGGAAATGGATAAAATAGCTCAGGCAGAAAAACAGCAAACCCACGTCCAACTAAGCAGGACTATGTAGCCACAAATAGGACTCCCCTGGTGGCTGTAAGTGATAGCATTTCCTGGGAATGAATACCAAAGATGCTAGGAATCATATATTTATTTACAATCTTCATGGGATACCCTGGTCTGCTATTCTGGGTGTGTAAACTATGTAAAAGCAAATAGGTTCAAAGGTCAACGATCAGTGACAACCAGCTGTCTGTAGAATCTTGTTTTCATGATTTACTTATTTTTGTTGCAAAGGCAGATATACAGAGAGAAAGAGAGGCAGAGAGAAAGATCTTCCATCTGTTGGTTCATTCCCCAAAGTGGGGAACAAGAATTGAGCCAAATCAAAGCCAGGAACCAGGAGTCCAGGTCTCCCATGTGGGTGCAGAGTCTCAAGGACTTTTGCCATCTTCCACTGCCTTCCCAGGCCATAGGCAGGAAGCTGGATGGGAGGTGGAGAAGTCAGGACACAAACCAGCACCCATATAGGATGCTGGTGGTTCGTTCAAGGCGAGGATTTAGCCATTGAGCCAACACGCTGGGCCCTGCAGAATCTTTAAGGGAATCAAGGCATCCCAAGCTTTGAAGTGACAGAGACTTGGTTTCTAATTCCAGCTCCACAGTTTGCCAAATAGATGACTTTTGTAGAAGCTAAGTGATTCTTTAATGTCTCATTTTCTTTCCCATGGAAAAATGAGCTGTCTACCTAAAGGTTGGCTTTCAGTATTGCAATAATACATGTAAAGCAGCCAGGACAGTGTCCAACATATAACAGATATTTGACATTTAATAAATGATGCTGCCATCTTGGTGATGAATTTATAAACAGGACAGGTGTTTTGACTCACTTTCTATTTCAGTCACTACTAAATCTCAATAACTGTTGTGATCTCCTATAGCTTTAAGGGATTAGGGAAATGAACTTCATTGTGGTGCTTGCTAAACACAGGATGGGCTGAGACAAGGCTGGGAGAGGATGACTAAAAGAGACACAGATCTGATTGTCTAACCCCTCTTGTCAGGTGAGTGGAGGGAGGAAAGGTTAAATGGGGGCAGGGGTGAGTTCAGCACTTGGGCCAAGGAAGGATTTTCAGGAACCTAGGTTGGAAAGTGAGTTGGCAGGACAGGCTTTTGAAGCCCAAAGCCAAGAATTGGAGCCAGGGCATGGTTTTCTGAATTCTCATGGGATAGAAGAGCAAGTGGGAACAAAAAGAGAGGCAAGAACAAAAGAGGAAGTGGTGGATGGCTTAAGTAACAAAGCCTAGAAAGATTCACAGAGGAGAAAAGCCCTGGCATGGCAAAGCCTGAGCCTGAACTCTCAACCCCTCTCCTCCTGCTGCCCACAAGGCTCATAATTTGGTCAGAAAATGAGGAGGGTCAAGAATGTTGAGTTGATAATATAATTAACTACTGTAGAGATTTGACTTGATGTCTGTAAAAAAGGAACAAGTTTATACTGAATGCCTGCAATGTGAAAGTGCTGCTGAAGATGTTGAGAAAACAAAAGAGGAAAGAAAGAGAAGGAGGGAGGGCGGGAGAAAGGAAAAAAAAATGAATAAGTCAGTATGGCCTTCATAATTCTTACAGGTAAACAGGAGAAAGGAAAGAGAGGTGTTCTATGTGAAACCCCTCTGGACATCACTTTGATTTGTTACCTGAGTGAGTTGAGTTTCTATTCACTATTACAAGGCTCTGGCTCTATGCCTCTTGCTCCCCTAGCTGTAATTTTGTTGGTTCCACCAGCATGACAAAGACCCTTTAAAGGTTGACCTGGTTCCTAAGGATGAGCTGAACAGTCATTTTATTGAAGTTGTTGGTAGGAGAAAGAATGGGAGAATAAGCATGAAGGAATCTCATTCCTAAGAAAAGAAAGATGCTTCAGCTGTGCCATGAAAATAGGGGGCACAGTGATCCTAGGCAAAGGCAGCTTTCCATTCAGTTGGAGTAAATCCAAAATGATGCTGAAGGATGAAGACAGGCAGGTCTTTATTTTGATATGAATGGCGATGCTTAGTCAGGGTTCTTGGGTGTTTGAATTCTGTGTAAATTTGAGGCTGGTGTTGTTATCTCAAGAAGACCATAAGGAAAAAGTTAAACTCATAGGTTCCTGGTAACAGCACAATCAGGGTTCTAGAGCCAAGCCAGTATAGCTTAGACAAGGATTTGAGTTGGCTCTCGTCCCAGGAAAAACACCATCATAGCAGGGGACAGGTGTTACAACAGCATCCACCAGGAGTTTGGTTTTAGATAGACCTGGGTTTGAGTCCAACTCTATCTTTTCCAGATATGTGAATTTGGGCAAGTGACTGGGGCTCTCCAAAGTTACTGTTTCCCCATCCGTAATAATAATACAGCTTATCAATTAACTACCCTTTCTTCACCGATTATTACGAAGATTAAATGCAATAACTCATATTGGAACCATTCAATCAATGTTCTTATTAACTAAATCATTGCTATCTAGTGATCCATCTCTAGTAGAGTCCTAAAACTTGAATGAGTCCAGATCCTTGTTGACTCTAACTTTGGGCATTAACCCAGTAGTACTGACATCAACTAGAATCTTAAAAGAAGTGCAAGATCTTGGGGACTTTTCCCAAGAAATACTCATTCGGGACCTGCATTTTCACATGCATGTTTTAGTCCACGATGCCTTGATATGAAAGATATCAGAAGATGTTCATTCACTGCTGAAACACAAGTGAGGTAGTGACAGAGGCTAAAAGATAGGATCCCAAAAGAAAACTCAAAACCCAGGTGGTTTTCCTTCCATTCTTTTGAGTCTTATCTCCCCAGCTCCCCTTTAACCTCCCAACAAATATATACAAAGCAGATAGACATCCAACTAGTTTCTAGCTAGTTTCCCATGTTCTGGCAGGTGTGGGAGGGGGAAGATCTTGAACTTTCTCATCAGGGAGATGAGGGTGGGGATTGATCTCTGTACTAATGCTCTGTGACATGATCTGTCCAAATCGATCTCATTTCATATTGAAATAAATGTCTATCAATGTCACAAACTGGGAAGATAGCACAAAAATCTTCAACAAAATTCTAATAGCTTATAGCTGTCATTTCCTTTCTGCTTATGGGCTTTCAGGGAAAGTAAATCAGTTGTTCTAACATACCTTAATCTTATCCAAGCCCTTCTGTTCCCCTTATCCCCAGAATCCTATAATTCCCTGATGGTTGTCAAGTGATTGCTGCATTTACCTGCAGCATTTTCTCAGATAATGATGTTAATGATATATAATTACCATTGCTTCCCTTTTTGAAAAGATGGGCCAGCCACTTCCTTCTTTTAATCCTTGAGTGTTTATTTCTGCACTATAGGATGATGTCAGAGATAATGGCCAGTGAGCTTTTATTAATAACTGTCAATGTTCAAAATACTGTAAGGTAAATGTTAAAAGTTTCATGTACATATATGTTTGTTTTGATCTTTTATTTGAACATTTCCATTTATTGTCATTCTTGGTTCTAGAATCACAGAGCAACATTTTTTTTGCACTACTGAATATACAGTTCTCTAAGCCCAGCCCACCCACATGAATAGGGATCAGTGATCTCAGGTTCCCCAACCTTCCTGGCTTGGTCCATATCAATCAAACAACCCAACTCCATCTCACCTGCCACTTGTACTCCTCGGATACCAGAATTTATATTTGTGAAATGGAAATGAGCCTTTTAGTCATTCCCTTAGACTCTATGCAAAATATTGAGTGTGCACTTACATACATTTTCCCTGAGGATGATGGGAATTTTAAATCAGATTCTTTACTAACGCCTGGTAAATAGTCACCATAAATAATAAACGGCTGTTCACACTCGAGCCCAAACCTTTGGAAATGGAGTTGGTCAGAATGGGTGCTGGGTACTTCCTAATAATTGTCCTAAATGGTTCTGAAGACAGAGATGCTCCCTCAGTGTATAATCCCAATAGTGTCACCCAAGGCCCCCAAAATGCCCTATATGTACTTCCTTTTTTGTTTCAGGCTGTATCACATGGACTGTTCCTTCCTGAGTATCACTCAACTGTCTCATTTCCTTCTTCAGAAACAGAAGCCTTTTGTTTACTGATTCCCTGTATAATTCCCTGTATGATTCCTTTTGTGTGTCATTCTACTTTATTATTCTTCAATTTCAATTTGGAATGACTTTCTGTGTTTTGCTACTTGTAGAACTTCAATGCTTTAGACCAATGGTAGACCATCACCTGGCAGGAGAAATTTTTTATTGTTGCTATTTGATACATTTTTGGATGCATAGTTCATAGTGCTGGACCTGGTCTAATGATTTCATCTAGAATCATCTGAAGAGGTTTGAAAATCAACCAGTCTTGAGCTCTACCCACAGAGATTATAATTTAAAAAGTCTGAAATGGGACCTGGATGTTGACTTTTTTTCCAAGTCAGGGTTGGGAGGCACTGGTGGAATCCAACAAAAGTTGTCAGAGGGTTAGGGTCTCTGAAGGGATTTTGGGGTATCTTGGCCATACTGTGGGTAACCACCTCCTCTTGTTTCCCCAGATGGTGCTCCTGGCCAGATGTGAAGGGCACTGCAGCCAGGCATCCCGCTCAGAGCCCCTGGTGTCCTTCAGCACGGTTCTCAAGCAACCTTTTCGTTCCTCCTGTCACTGCTGCCGGCCACAGACCTCCAAGCTGAAGGCCCTGCGACTGCGCTGCTCAGGGGGCATGCGACTCACGGCCACCTACCGATACATCCTGTCCTGTCACTGTGAGGAATGCAGCTCCTGAGGCCTGCCACTGAGGGGCTATTGAATGGGACAGCTGCAGATGCAGTTCAACCAAGCAGGAAAGAACTGGCGAGAAAAGAGTTAATGAAAACAAAACAAAATAAAAAAAGATGCAGCAATTCCCACAGGATTCTGCATATTCCAGTCATAAAAACTCCACACATTTCTTGACCGAGAGAGCTACTCTGGGAACTTATTTTGAGTTCCCATCTCTTTTTCCTGGTACAATTTCTTTCGGTCCCTCTCAGATTCAGTTATTCCCACCCCCTTGTTGGCTCTGAACACTGTTTGGGTTTCCAGCCATTGTGCATTAGTGGGAAAAAGCAGGCCCCCAAGCAAGAGTGTGTCAGGCTGTCACAGTTTGGTGCATATTAGGGAAGAATTTGCTTTGGCAAGCAGGAAATCTCAAATCTTTCTGGAACATCTTTTTTTTTTTTTGTCATTTTGGTCTAAGGTATGCTATTGCCTCTAAAGGTTACCAATTTCCAGCTACAGACCCCAAGCATATGGCTGTGTTTAGCCAGGTTTACTCACAGACAACAAGCTGACATTAAAATAACTAACAAATGATTCTCTTAGATGAATCCGGAACTCTTGGCAGTTGTAACTATTATTCAGGAATGACTTTTGGGAAACAAAGATGGCATAAAGAATTTTTCACCTGAAAGCTCATGCAAATAAATTATAGTAGAATTTTGTAAGGGTGCAGACTTTTGAAGACTTACGCACATACAGATCCTGCCCTGACTTTGGAAAAGGCATATGTGTACTAGAGGCACGGAGAATGCATCATACTCCAGCATGCAAAACAGACAACCAAGTACGAATTTATTTGTGGGTGTGCTATAGCTTTAGCCATGTCTTTGGCATCATTCTCTAACATCCACTTGTCCGTGTGAAGCTTGTGCCAAAATGGCAGCCTGGCTCATCTTCTGAACATTTGGTTCAAATATATTGTGGTCTTTGAGGCTCAAATTTTGAGTTATTCCCATGTTTTGAAATAAAAGAGAGTATCTTCAAAAATTGAGCTGTGCAAATACTTTTTTTTTCCTACTCAATATTCTGTGATGTAGACTCTGAGATACACATAGCTAGCGTTTGGGCATCTCCTATGAAGGGGAGGGTTCAAAAACAAGAATAATAAAGTTTTAGAATACATGATGGTGGTATTAGCATTGGAAGAATTTATTTGAAATGCTCACAACATGCAGAGTTGGGCTGAGCCAAAGCTGTGAGCCAGGAACTCAATCTATGTCCTCCATGTAGGTGACAGGAACACAATTACTTGAACTGCTAACAAAGCCTCCCAGAGTCTGAATTAAGCAGAGAGCTAGAGATAAGAGCTAGAGCTGAGCATCAAATCCAGGTACACTGAGAGATGTGAGCATCTCACTATAAGGCTAGATATAAATCTGGAACTTTAAAAAATAGATTTAATTTTGATGATGTTTACATAGTTGAGAAAGAGGTATGCTTATGTGGACTACTGATTAAGATGAGAAGGATCAAGGAATGGGGGAAGTGGATGAGACAATTGCTTACAATTTTTTTCCTTCCTGTATCTGGAGGAAGGGGAGAGAGAAGGGGGAAGGCCATACCCAGCATCCTAATTGCGTAAGTACTCGGGGATGGGGAATGGCCACATGATAACATCCTAGGGTTCCCAATGTGGAACATGCTCCAAGGGTTCTGCTCAAGTGGTTTCAATGGTTCTGAAATGTTGTTGAATTCATTGCTACAAGGTGATTAAATCCTTTGAAGATCCGTTGGCTGACACAGTCTGCCTTAGAGTCTCCATCCAGATACTTGCAGTCAAAGTTTGATCAGAAGAGTTATCCAATTTGTTCTGCCCTCTACCCTCTGCCATGGTACTAGAAATCTTCAGGACTCAAGGGTTTGACATGTTCCCCATGTGTATCTGGGTATGCCATCCACTGCCTAGGCTTCAGAACTGAGTAGGCCCAGTTCTGACACATTCTATGGTCAGACCACAAATCCTGTGGTTTTCCCCCATGATTACAGTTTTGAGACCATTAGTCTAGTTGAGCTAAATATGCATCTGGAACTTAAAAACGAAACAAAACAAAAACCAATGGTCAAGCAAAAGGCTTATGAGGTTTAATTATTAGTCTCAGACATTAGCTTATCACACAAACACAAATCTGATGCCTGCTGGCTTCCTTAGACAATATGTAGTGAAATAGTCACCCTTTTCTAATCACTTCGTTTTCCCCAAAAGAGAAGAGATATTCATATCCAGCAGGAAGATAAAGAGTTCACTGTCATTCCTGTGCTATTGAGTACTCAGTGCTCCAAGGTCAACGATACCACTGAGCAACACAAGAACACTCAATGCTGGTAGTGTGCTGTATCCACTATGGACAACTCAAAGCTAACCCAGAGTGGACACCTCAGTTTCCAGGGTGACTTGGACGCCATGCTGTTCTGGTTAACCAAAGATGAAGTGCTACCCGCTGTTACTACAGCCAACCTGTGAATTAGTTTCCTGTAGAGAATATGGTCTTGTACATTCTTTGGCACTGTATTCACACTTTTTTTCCTAGGAAGCCAGCAGGGTTAAATTTGTTTTTGTGGCTTTGAAATAGAATGAAACTAATGCTATTAAACCTTGACCTTGATCTTAACCTTACTGGTGATAGAAGTCAGTTAGTACACTAAATTGAAGGTTCTCCTTTATGTTGAAGGCAAGCGTGAAATGGAAAGTTCAACTATTACATGAAGAGAAATTTTCTCATAGGAAGAGCTAAGTTTTAATTCTGAAAGTTAAATGGTTATAACAGAAGTATTAACTGCTGGCCAAAAGTCTTAACATTTATGGCTGTTCTTTTATATTGCTAACCAAAAAGTGAATATTATACTTCTAGCCTTAAAGCATCTCTTCTTGGCTTTGAAAACTCAATTTGCTTTGTCAATCTAGAATATATACCCAGAACTCCAGTCTTTATTTTCTCCCTACAGATATGAGAATGGAGGTGAGGGAATTAAATGATTACTATCTTCCAGACTCTTAGGAAACTGTAAAAATAATAACTTCAAGTCCATTTACATGGGCTATTGTCAAAGCTTCTTCCATGCAAATGAGCAGAATATGCTTGGAGAACTAAAAATTCATAGAGGAACTTGTGCCACACCACAATGACTAATACTACACCTTCAAGTGCCAGCATCCCATATGGGCACTGGTTCATGTCCTGGCTGCTCTGCTTCCAGACCAGCTCTCCACTTATGGCCTGGGAAAGCAGTGGAGGATGGCCCAAGTCTTTGGGCCCTTGCACTCATGTGGGAGACCCATAAGAGTCTCCTGGCTCCTGGGCATTGTGGCCATTTGGGGAGTGAGGCAGCAGATGGAAGATCTTTCTCTCTGTCTCTTCTCTCTGTAAAACTGCCTTTCTAATACAATTAAATAAATCTTAAAAAAGAAAAAAGAATCATAAGACACTGGCATTGCAAGCATCTATTGCATTGGAAATCATCTTCTTCTCTAAAATCCATGCTTCCTGCTCTCCACAATCCTGGGCATTTTTTTTGCCCTTTCCTCTAGCCAAATGAAAGAACTGCTGTTTTTTCTTTCAGGATCTTACATGCTGAATAGGGTGAGTGGGCTGGGAAACAGTGTAACAATGCAGGGTGAAGTTGCGTGATAGCATCCCAAGGCTGAGAAAGAGGAACACGAGTTTCAGTTTCCCTAAAGACCTCAAAATAGCTCTGGGAACAGAGAGAATGCAGATATCATTGAATATTCCATTACAATGGAATCTGCATTATATATTTTAAAAAATTAAACCCATTTTGACTTATTTTAGTGTTTACCCCTAAGGATTCTGAGAGGACTAAATGAAAACATCCATCAGTCAAAAAGACTATTCCTGGAATGCTTGAGGAATGTTTGCTTGCATTCTCTATTTACAACGCATGAAAAAAGGGAAGCTGAAATGTATTATAATGTTAGAAGGTACATCATAGAAGCCAGTATGACAACCCATAATCCTTGAGGTCAAGCCTCTTGTGAATTGATTTTACCCTCATCCTTTAAAATTTTTTTTTTTATTTGAGAGAGAGAGAACAGAGAGAAAGAGTACTTTTCATTGCTGGTTCACTCCCCAAATTGTTGTAATGGCTAGAACTTGATCAGGTTGAAGCCAAGAGTCTGGAATTCCATCTGGATATCCCACATGGTTACCAGATGCCCAAGCACTTGGCCATCATTTGTTACCTTCCTAGGTACGTTAGCAGGGAGCTGGATTTGAAGTTCAGCAGCTGGAATTTGTTTTGTTTATAGGTTTTTTTTTTCAATACTGCTTACATAGTTCAGAGGGACGAATGTGAGTATGAGTCTCTGATTAGGGTGGAGAGGGTCAGGAATGAATGGAGGTGGATGGGACAAATGTTTTCAAATTTTTTCCCCTGTCTGCAGGGAAGGAAGGGGAAGGGGCCACTCCTTGCTGCTAAAATACATTAGTACCTGGAAGTGGGGGATGGCCACTTGATGTCATCTTGGACTACCTAATGTGGGGGAGAGTGTTCTAACGGTGTCTCTTCAGTGGTCTTGACAGTTCTGAAAGGTTGTCAGCTTCATTGCACCAGGGCTGAGAAAATCTTTCCAAGGTCTATTGGTTTTCCAAGTCCACCTGAGTGCATACACAGGCCAAGGACCATGTTGCAATGCTCGGTCAGGGAAGTAGTCCAACCCATTCTGCATTACAACCCCTGACAAGGCAGCTGAGATTCCATGCAGGCCTTCATGAGCTATCTGTCATGTCCTCCATCTACATTTGGGTATGCTGTCCAGTGCACAGGCATCAGCAAACTGAAGAGGTCGAGTTCTGACACATGCATTCCAGAGTTGGACCACATATATTGTGTTTTTCCCTATGGCCAGGTTATGAGTCCAGTGAACTAGTTGGGGAGTCTCCCAAGAAACCTCATCTGGGTTGACCTCAGATTTGACTTGTGTGCATCAGCCAGCGCAGTGTGAGGTTC